TCTCTCTCTCTCTCTCTCTCTCTCTCTCTCTCTCTCTCTCTCTCTCTCTCTCTCTCTCTCCCCAGAATCAAGTTGAACCTGGCACCAAGCTAAGAGTGCTTATGGCAATCTGCACAGACAACCAACGACTGTTTGACACTTGTTCAAGGTGCTCGATCGCCAAACAGATCAGGAACCAGCATCAAGGCTCCCTAAGAGTGCTATTGGCAATCGACACAGCGAGCCAACGACTGTTTGGCACTTCCTTAAGGTGCTCTATCGAACACCGATAACTACGAATTGATGCGATGTTTAACTAGTATTTGTCACCCCAAGAAGGAGACCCTTCCGCCAAGGAAAATGGCGAACACATTTGTTGCAGGGGTACAAATGGGTTGCGGGTTGGTCAGTGCACCAGGCTGGGTGTTCCGCCCGACCACAGTTGACGGGTTCAGTCCATCAACTTGCAAGGTGTCGGGCGCTGGACCCCTGACCTTTTATGGAACATAGGGACCACATACTCAACAAATTGTCATACAGATAACCCCTGCCCTGTATCGTGTAGTGTGACTGGCACAGTCGTTCCTTACACCTAGCCAGGACAACAAGATGTCGTCTTACAAAGAGCCCCTGCCCTTTTATGTTGTGCAGTGTCGTTCCCTGTACCTAGCCAGGACAGGACGGGAACCCATTTTATACACTGTTAATTCGCATTTAATAACAACTATTCATGTACGAAGGGCTCAAAACGCCCCACCACAACATTCACCCCATCAACACTACATATACTGACCATTTATCCTCACTTAAAGTGCCGCATAAGGCCCTATTGGCCCATGTACAGTGTATTCATTCACATTCGAAATAGTTCACTTTTTGGGAAAAAAATCAGTTTTTACGAAATGTGTATTGTATACTATTCTTTCAAGAGAGGCCTAACCATGGTGCGTAGCAGTCGGCTGCATGGCTATAGGCCGAGATACCTCCAGTTTCTCTGGAAATGGGAGCGGATGTCTGAAGATGGGCCTGTGGTGACGGCTATTCTGGACTACAATCACTGCAACCAGGAGGCCAAGATGAAGATAAATGTAGAAGGAGGGAAGGAAGAAGAGATGAGAGTTGACCAGGGACTGCGATTGGCCATCACGGAGGCCAAGGACCGTGCTGAAAGGAGGCGCAGGAGGGACGCGGTCACCGACGACTTGGGCGACGAGATAAAGGTGAGTGTATCATACTTGGAGGAAGAGACTTCGACGGATACTGCAGAGCGGGAAGAACAGCAGCTAGACCGCGACTCAGAAGCAGAGAGTGACGCGAGCGACCTAGAGGTCAAGACCCAGTCCTGGCATGGACTGGACCAGTGGCGACGGGACCACCCACCAGCTGAATCAGTGGAAGACGGCCTAGAGGCCAGCTCGCGACGTCGACGGGACCATCCGCCGGCTGGGCCTGTGGAAGATGGTTCGAGGGCTAGCTCACGACAGAGACCTCGTGGTGAAAGCGCGGTAAATCGCAAAGGAGGGGTCCCGATGTGTGAGAGATCAAGAAAAGTCAGACGAGAGAGAGAGGCATGTCTCTCCTGGGTTAACGTCAACAGATTCACGAGGGCTTCTCGTGTGCTGGTCCGGTGAAGAGAGTCGTGAAGCAAGAGAAATGGTGTGCGATGGGAGCCACGACGCGTGACCTGTACGTGCAAAGGTGACAGATTTGCTCGGTCGATGCCAGCTGCTCCTTTACCCGATCTACGCTCGCTGCTTTGACGGTTTTCATCTCTATTTTGGGTGATGACTCATAAGCGGACTCCGACTAGGCTTCAGTGGGTTGCGCGGCCATTTACGAGGAAACGTTCCAAGACTGGTCTGAGGGATAACGCACGGAGGGAAGAGCGATCTTGCAGATTGAGGTATAGGTGATGTCGAAGCAGGTGACTTGAAAAGGGGTGCCCCATACTCAGAAGCGCCTTGCTAGGCTTGTAGTGGCCGGCGTCCTCCTCTCTCAGTAGTTGTCGTTCCCTATTGAGTCGTAATTGGGCATTTGTGATGACGTCATCTGTCACCGCGCACGGCTTCTGTCACTTACCAGTTGACTTCAAAACATGAGGATCAGTCATCAGCTGCAGACGAGCTTGTGTGTAAGTTGGAATGTTCTGTTGCCACCAAACGCTTTGGGACGATTAGAGTGACCGCAACTGGCTAGTTCCCATCATCGTGGAGGAGCATACGTGTGCCGCGTGAGTGACTTAGGAGGGCTTGGCGAAAATCAAGTTTCCGAGAGCCTTTGTCGATGAAATCACACACGCTGTACAGATCATCATCGCTGCGCTGGTGAGCTGTTCAACCGCAAAATTGCGCGTGCTCCCTGAGATTGATGCCACTCACGCCACCATGGGATCGGTGTTACTTGTTCATAAGGCTGGGAGGACGAGTAGACGAGGGTGTTCAAATCGAGAACTGCTAAACCTAAGGTGGGTCTTGAGCGAAACTTTCACGGGAAGAGGTGCGTGCGCCGCTAGTAGACGTCTCTGAAGAACTGGTCAACCTCTCTTTGATCTTCTATATCTTTCGTCCGCACTCAGTAAGAAGCCATGTATGGCGATTCTGCGCTGGTAGTTAGCTACTCTCAGAAAGAGGCCGCTTGCTCAATATAGCAGAGATCTGGTTCAAGGAGAAGGGAGGGAAGGGAAGGTTATGCTGCGATTACAGAGCGACAAGCTCTGACTGGAACACGGCTATCATTGTAGACTTGGCCCATTTTCTCTCCTTTCAACCCCCCCCCGTTTGCATGGCGGCCTGCCGGGAAGGTCGTGAGCAAATGTCGTAATGAGTAGCTGATTAGCATTTTCCCTATTAATGAGATGAGTTGTCCACTTCGATTGCGTGGCTGCAAATACTAAATGTTGAAGTTAGGCAGGAAGGAGAAAAGGAAGCACCTAGGCCAGGCCTCACTTGTCAGAGGCATTAGAAGTTGGTACGCATGAAGGAGTGGCTCTATCTTAGTCAGGCCTTTTTTGAGAGTTGTGCTCTCTCGGCCAGGGGACAACTCAATCCGTGAGCTCAAGGAGGACGTTCATTATGATTAATGCAGATACCTCTGCCGATATAGCACACTCCCGTCTGTCCCGAGTCCGAAGCTGGTCAGAACTAAGGAGGGATTAATGACGGTTGCAGCAGTGTGACTTGATGATCTATTCTTTCGAAGAGATGGGAAAAAGGTGGATGTGAAATTCCGAGTAAAACTCAGAGCAGCTGAACCAAACAGATAAGGATTGAAGTCATCACCCTTAACTTGCTGCGGCCCTTATTTCCTTGACCCATCCTCATAATCTGTGTTTTGTACCAACTACCTCCTGGCTAAGCATTCAAAATAGTCTCATGAACTCCTTTGGAAGCTCTTTGCTCGAGTGAGTACTGACGGATAAGCTGGCTAGGACCAGCGAACTTGATCAGAGAGGGTCAGGGGTATCCGTGCACACCAGTCGACTGTTGATTTGTAAAGTCAATAGTAAGCCTGTGTTTAGTCATGAGAGAAGTGAGGGTTACGATTGCCTAGCCCTGGACAAAAAGGGAAGAGTAATTTATTCATGACTGTCGTCCCGAGTGAAGTCAAATGAAAGAGTGGGTTGAGAAATCTTGGTAACTCACTGAAATAGCTCGTGAGAGGTCATGCCACTGGCCAACCCCTCGCTTGAACACGGTTCTGTTTTTTTTTATTTACTCCTTAAATCATGAGTGAATGATGGGAAAAGGGCAAGCATTTCTTAAGAAGGTGGCATATCTGCTAGCCAAATATTTGCTTGACGGGACTAATCTCCCTCACCCCTCAGCCTCCAAATCGCAACTATATGGACACACAACATAGTCAGGCATGAACTGCAGAGGAAGCTTGTTGAGACGAGGGCCTTCCTGATCGGAATTCACCCAAGAGGCATTGGAGTGAGATGGGGTTGGGCTCCGCTTGAGATTTAGCAGTGTCGAGAGAGATACTCTTTTTCCCAGCAAACTGTGAACGCACCCCTGGTAATCGTTGGAGTTGTCAGCATACCCCTATTCAGGAGTAGAATTAACTAACATTGTTTGTCAGATGAAAGGTAGAAAGGCATAACGTGAAGTGTCAGAATAATGACAGTGGTATCAGGGGCCGGTGACTGCGCCGCACTCCCCTGCCTCAGGTGCAGGACTTCTTGTGTCAGCCCGGGTAGGTGTCTGGGTACCCCTAGGATGTTTCCCGGCTGGTCCGTGTCTGCCACGAGCCTGATGCTCGTAGGTGTGGTGGTTAGTCGCAGTCCCCTGCCAGGGTGTCTCGGGCCGGGCAGGTAGGCCTCCCTTCTCCTTCTCACTTGATGTCATGTTTTTCTCTTGGTTGACTCTCTATGCTTGCCGGTAATAAGTAACCGGACTGGTACAGCCCAGAATAGAAGGGGTGAGTGTGTTGTGTAAAAAAAAAAAACAAAAAAAAAAAACACCACTCTACAAAAGCATGAACCAGCAAGCGCCCCTTCGGTTCGTGAGACGTTACATGCGGTTTTCTCCTCGTTGGATGAACTACCCAGAATCGAGCTAATTACTCTGAGTACCACCAAGTGCCGTACTCAGGACCGTTATGCCGAACAGAGTCATACTATATGAGCTCAGAGACAACTAATGAGTGCCAAACCCAGGGCTATTACGACGGACATTAACGGCTCTTGCACTAAGAACTGTTAAGTTGAACACAGACAAGTATTATGCCTAAACCTATGAATCTGAGCGTGGGCTTGACCCCATGCTCAAAGCTAAAATGTTGAACGGGGTCAGAGATCGGATTCGACATCAGCGTGAGGGACACGGATTTCCAGCACTCGGTGACCAATACGGACGAACTATGCTCAGAGTACTTATACCCTGGACATACTTACTGGGCACAGAGTACACCGGATGGAAACACTCGACCCCAACAAGGACTTAAATTGCAATCAGCTGTAGTGTCGGATTGCCGATTGCTGGTGATTTAACTACGAATTAATCACCAAGGCCCTCTACAACTGGGTTTGAAGGGGGAGTCATCGGTAGTAAGGCAAGCCGACCCTCAAGACCTACACTCAATTGATATTTTTCTGCACAAAGTGTGATCTCACTCTGGGATCGACATAATGGGACTTGGCAGAGAAGAAAAGAAAAACTTAGAAAGTGAGAAGAGGCTAACAATCTCCTGCACTCTCTACCGAGAGAGAGTAGAGGGCTGGGAAGAAGAAGCCGTTGATGACGTCCAGGGCTACACGAGGTTAATGAGAAAGCAAGGGCTGGAATTGGTAAAAAGTCAGGAGCTCATTAAGTATGTCATATATTTCTACGGGTTCGATGGAAAATTGCACAGCGCATTTTCATCTATTGAGGCTACTGACCGAACGAAGGGGATTGTCAGTGGTCAGTAATGAATCTACCTTGGCGATCACTACTCAGATCAGCTTGGTCTTCTAGTCGCAAAAAGGTCAATTAAATAGGGAAACAAAACACGATAAAGAACAGGTTGCATTGCAGCCTTCAGTAACCGGAGGAGGGAGTGAGCACCCAGCTACGAAACACCCTCAGCGGTGGACAAGCGCGGCCGATCCGCGGACGCGGGACACGTCCGCGTGGACGCGTCACTTCGCGGACGCGTGGCGGCCGGTGGGGAGGGGGGTTGGGGATTTGGAAAGCGCCATGGGGCGGCGCATCCCCAGCCCCACCCCCTCAAACAAAAACAAATTAAAAAAAAAACTAATTTTTATGTGGGGGGGGTTGGGTGAGTGATGGTATTTAAAAAAAA